AAAAGAATCTGTTGGATATCTTTAAAACTTTTTGTGTTATCCAACGTCAAAGTTCAAAGTTTAAAAAAAATTCAATTAAAAACACAATTTTTGGCAAATCGGATTGTGTCTAAACCACGCTACCTACAAACTTGAAATATTTACATTATATTCCCAATTAAATATTCTATAAACTGAAAAAAGAATCAATGTTGTATCTTTAATGGTTTAAAAGTTGTGACGTAGTAAACTTGAAACTTTAAAAACCCAACAATAATTTCTCTATTTTACTTTTCTGCTCACTATCTCCACCTTAGGCGTTGAAAAAATCAGCGTCAATATTTGCACACCAACAGCGCTCGTCTGTATCGCTAGAAAATGTTCAATTTCTCACATCGCTAAATTTAAGCACGCCGTGGCCATTTTTGTAACGCGCTTGCTCGTCGGATGTGTACACAAGCGAGTAACGTATAAAAACACATTTTTTCCGCTCGACCAATCGGCAGCGAGTGAAATTTTTCTCCGCAAGATTTTATTTTCGTGTCGCCGCCGACTTTTCAAAACGCTTTAACGAATTTAGAACGCGCCATAATAAAGTCGACATAATAAATTAATAAATAATCTAATCGACGACCACTTGACCTACGACTTATTGGAACCAATCGAAACGAAGTCTGAAATTGGAGTGAAAAACATAAAAACAACTCGCGCAAAAATAAAATTTATCGGCGCGTTTGAAAAACTGTTTTGAACTCGTCATTTGCAATCGCATTGGCGCTTAAAACACGTTAAGTCATGTTACTTAAGTCATGTTACTTAACTTAAGTAAAGTTTTTATTTTTGTTTGTGTGTGAGTTGTATGTTGATTTTGCGTATCACTCGGTATGTGTCTTATCGCCAGACGTTCTAATCTCGTTTTTGGGCGTTCGCCCAACCGCCCATAAAAAGGGGCAGCCATTTTAAAAAAAGCGCAGTGTCTCACCGACTCGCGATAAGTGTGGAAAAAGTTTCGCCAAAATATTTTCTAAAGTGATAAGTAGTTTAAAAGTTTGGCGAAATTTTTCCAAAATGTAATCAAAGTGCGAAATTTTCGAGAATTCGTGTTTACAAGGTAAATTATTTTGTAATAAATGTTTTGTTGCAACAATTTATGCTGCGCTATGAGTATCAGCTAACGTTTTTGATAAGAAGCTAGGTCATGATTGCGGAGCTGACATTTTTCTTTTTTTCGAATAGATACATAGATCAAACACGAGTTCATAGCGCGGTTGCTCCGTGCGATGAGTTGGTCACGATTATCCATGCGGAGATTATTTAATAACGGAGCAATTTTTCTATTCAGCTTTGATGCGATGTCGTGAGTCTAAATTGTGGCTATTTACTTGTCAAAAACTGAATAATATCGTCTTGGAGTGACTTGGAAAGTGCGCAAAATTTTTTGCAAAAACACGTGGGGAGAAAAATGCGATTTATTCAGGGATGGTTAGGGATAGGTTTATGAATTTTTTGGAATATGTTGCTAGATTAATTTTAGATCAATTAGTAAAAAGTTTGTTTTGGTATGTTTTATAGTTTTTGAGTTATTGGATTGTGAAGTTAATGTTGCAAAATGAAGGTGTCGAAAATTACATTTTCTCCAAAACGCTGAATCTTTTAGGTTGTTGAAGATAAATTATTGAAAATAAGCACATACATTAACAATTAAATTATCTACAAGATAACTTTTTCGCTAAACTAATATCTTTAATAGTTTAAAAGATATGAGTCATCAAAGTTGAAATTGAAAAAAAAAACACAAAAATCAATTTTTCACTATTTCATGTCCACATAACTGTAGACATAATGGGATCACCCATCAGCCCAAAAATAAAACAGTCACCATTTTATCTATTTTTTGATAATCCAGTGTGATAAAACACCAAACCTCCCAAAAAACGACGCAAAAAATGGCTGCTCAAACAAAATGATAATTACTTATCGCACGTATCACACATTAATTTCGCCAGGGTTGGAATTTTTATGCATGTCACACTAATTAAATCATAAAAACGTCAAAAACTTTTCCACAAACACTTGAAAAACACTATTTCCAGTTTTATAAGATCGGATTGCAATGATAATGCGGAGTAAAACTGAGGGTGACGTAAGATAACGATTAATTAATTAAATAAATCATAAAACATAATAAAACATCGCTGCAGTGAGAAACTAACATTCTAGATAAAATTGTTTAAACAAAAAACATGAAAAAGGTTTAAGTTTGCTTTATACTATAAATTACAAAGAGTAATCTTAGTTTCTTGCAAAAATTTAAACTAAATGTTTGAAGAACTGTAACTTTTAAACTAATAGTGATAAGAGTGTGAAATAAAATTTATTTAGTAAACAATTTATTCTAGTTTATATCACTTAAATTTGAATAATTTTTATCAACAATATTATGCGTTATTTAAGTTTTTGCAAAGTATTGAAAATCGGATATAAAATAATTTTTACAAACTGCATTTCCAATTTTAGAGGCATATAACTTAAAAACCTGATAAGATATTGATTAGATACTGAAACCAGTTTGTGGAATGTCTAATCTAGACTAAATTTACAAATTTTTAAATAGTTTAGATTGAATTTGTAGGAATTATTGCATTTGCCAAAAATATTGCATTTATTTTTCAAATTTTTGTTAATCAACTTTGTTACATCATAACTAATTAACAAATTATTCCACCAATATGCGGTTTTCACCATTCAATGAATAATTTATTCTAGAATACTGTACCAAATTTTCAAAAATATTTGTTTATGAATTTTGACAGAATTTGCATTTTTCTAAAAAAAATCGAAAACAGTACGTTATTATAATACAGAAACTGTGTGTATAAGGGTTGAAATGATCGTATTAGGGGATGAAAGCTCACGAAAGCTCTGAAAGCTCCGAGCGGCTGTATTTTCCTTGGGGTAGCAGACACGCAGCGCCCTCTAGTAACATCTACGCGAAGCTCACACCAAAAGGGGTGAAGTTGAACACTCAGCCAAGGGTTGAAAATTATTCAAGGATAGAACACGAAATATTCCAAGTTCCAACACTCAAAACTTAAACATTATAACAACAAACAACTATAAGAGTGGTTTTTAAATATTTTAAAATTTTTACAAAATTTTATCTAAAAATAATTTAAGGGTGGTTTTGATAAGAAAATATATTGTAGGCGTTTGATACGTGGTAGGTTACTGGGTAAAGAGGGTTGATTGGCAAGAAAAAATTCTTAAAGTGGTAGGGGCTGCACACAACCGGAAAAAAATGCTGGAGGGGTGAATTTTTCTGTTCGTCGTGCTTCCGCGTTGGCGGCCCGCATCTCAGAAGTCCGCCTGCACTCCACCCTCTTTTTTTTCACAACCCTAAAACAAAATCATCCCCCTTCCACGTGTTGAACACCCGGCCCGCGGAAAAAAAACACAATACAAGTGCTGTTAAGGGAGGTTCTGTACATGGAAGGGGGTTGATTGGAAAGAATTACAAATACGGAAGAGAGTGTAAAGTAGTCTAGATTCAACTACGGGGGTAGTAAGAGTGCGTGGTGTATTTTTTTCCGGGAATATTAGAAGGATTTTTGAGAATATTGAGAAACTCTGGTGGTGTGAGTGCTAAGGGTGAGGGAAAAGTGGTGGGAGTTCAGCGGCGGCGGCGAAACGTAAGGAGCGATTCTTTCTCCCTCTTGCTTCCCGACGGTGGCGAGGGCGTCGCGGAAAAAGGCAGCCGAATAGGGGGAGCGAGCATGCGCCAGCGCCGCCAAGATGCGCCCGCTCTGCTCGCCGCAGCTGCTAAGGTCTAGCGCTTCGGCGGACGGCGGGCGACGCCGCGACGCCGCGTCTCCCTCACGCGCGCCCGCCTCATATATGTCGCGCCTAGTCGCGCGCACCCGCCGCGCCGCCGACGCCGCCGCTTTCTTAGTGCGAAGGCGTCGTTTTCAGACGCTGGTCGTCTTTTCCGAGACGCCGCGACGCTTTTCTTAGTTCTACGCCGACTTTCTTATCGCACAGACGCGCGCCCGCCGCACACTCGAGCACACGCCGCTCTCTTACTCTGACTACACTCTGACGATTAAGGGTTGCTAATACGGAACACGCGCGCAAACACTTGGAGAATATTTCGCGGACGCGGCAGTGAAAAGCGACAACTAATAGTGCAATATTATTTAAATACGGATTAACGGAAAATCGGAAAACGCGGAGATTTCGCGTTAAGGGACTTGGGATATTTTGTGGCAGTGTGAATTTTTGGCAAACAGTGAAAAGGGCATTATTATTATTAAAACAAGTGCAATTTTTGCCGATACATAACAGTGCAATACAGTTGATTATATGATATCGCTAGATATCAACAGAAATATTATTAAATCGTGAGTAAGAATTTTGAGAAATTTTTAGAGAAAAGTTTAAGTTCTTGTTTAGGGGATGAAAGGGTTAAAGTGTTGAGGATACATCTTCCGACGGTTGGAAAATAATTTTTTTTGTAAAATAAATTTTTTGCAAAAATTTTGTTTTTGGTAATTTTGAGAAATTAATTTGAATAATTTTATGTTTGAGAAATTTTAGGAAAACTTAGTGAAAACTTTTAAGTTTAGAATAAATTTTGTGTTGTTTTAGGAAGTGTTAAAATATTTTGGGAAATAATTTTTGCTAAATTTCTAAGTTTTGCAAAATATTTTAAAATTTTTTGGAAAATTAATTTTTTGATATTTTGAGATAAATTTTATGTAGGTAATAATTTTAGATATTATTGTGTCTTTAGAAAATTTATTTTTAAATTTTAGCGAAAATTTTCTCCAAAAAATTAAATTTAGCAAAATTTTCTCCAAAAAAATTAAATTTTCCCAAAATTATTCTAAAAATATTTTTAATACTAATTTTAAAGTATTATCTCATTTTGCAAATAATCTCAATATATTTCCAAGTCATGTAAATTAATTTTTTGCAAAAATTTCAATTTTTTTCTGTTTTCTGATAATTTCTGTTGTTTGTAGATTGACGAACGGAAGTAACCTTGAAACACTTTGCTCTCACTGAGATAATCAAAGTGTGAAAGTGCACCTCGTCCACCTCGTGGTATTTACGCTCTCGCGCCGCGCCGGCGCACACCCCCCACACGCCGCCCCCTCGCAGCCGCCACGACGTTAACCACGGAGGACCAGACGATCTTAAACAACCTGAAAGTCGAGCATGAGAACCTAGTCGCCAAGTGGCTGCAGAATTCGTTCAAGAATTCGCTGACGGCCGCGTCGAGCGCCGCCGTCGCCGGCCAGCACTTCCTCGCCGCGACCGGCGGCGAGCAGCAGCCGCCGCCGCAACCACAGCAGCAGCAGGCCTTCTTCGACCGTCAGTCGCAAGAAAACGCCGCGCTGGATCTGCGCGCGCCCCCGCTCTCCATTCAAATCCCGCAGATGGCCGACGTACAACAGGCCAATCGGCCCGTCTTCAAGATGGAGAACGACTTCTGGCAACAACAGCAACCCCAGCAAACCCAACAGCAGCAACAACAAGTGCGACAACCTGCGAATCCAGTTGGTGTAGTGAATAATCCACCGCAACGAATGGCGCAGAATCTGAGCAACACATCACAGCAGAATTCACCGGTGCCAATGGCACATTCACCTGCTGGACAACAAAACACCCCACAACAACAACAACAAGGTGGGAATAATCATGTGTTGGCTCTACAACAGCAACATTTGAATCAACAGCAAGCACACGCGCAGAGTAGTCAACCCAATACACCCAACAATGGTATGCAACCCATTACACAACAACAGCAAGCGCAACAACAGCAACAACAAGCGAATGCGAACACACCGCAACTGGGTAGTCCGAATCCACATCAACAACAGCAGGCGACTTTGGCTGCTGTTCATGCGCAGCAACAATTAGCACAACACATGCAACAACAGCTGCCATCTAGCGGACAGAATTCACCCGAGAAGATGATGACGGAAAAAATCGTCAATGAATTACAAGTAAGTCTAAAATTCTTTAATTATAATTAATTATCTTTTACTCTTATATATTCCATATGTTCTTTTATTTTGTTTTTTTTTCGTTATGTTTTGGTGGCAGATGCAAAAATTTGCGTGTTGTGAGTTTGTCTGTAACCTGTAATTATCATCAACGTGTGGGCGGGATTTTTTTTGTCTTTTGTTTAACGTTTTGTTTGGGAGCGCGATGAGACAGGTGGCTCCATCTGAGGTCTAAGAATACAGCGCGGTGTTAAGAGGGGATGAACGTACACGTGCGTCGGAGGAGTCAAGGGAAGGGATGAACGGTGGGGGAGCGACGTCGCGACGCCGAGCTTTTGAGCTTTCAGCGTCGCGGCGTCGTGTTATTCTATGAGGAGACTCAGGACGCGCAACATCTAAAAATATTTTTTTCTTGGGGAGTTTTTAGAGCTTTTAGAGCTTTTGAGCTTTTATTTAAAAAGCTCATTATAATTTTTTTTAAATTTTATATTTTCTGAGATTTATTTTTAATTTTTTATTTTTGAGCTTTTTTTGAGAGCTTTTTGAGCTTTTTTGAAAGCTCGGTTTTTTTTTAACTTTTTGAGTTTAGATTTTTTCAAAATACTAATATATTAACCCTGTATGTGACTAACATAAGCTTCTCTCTTTGTGCTTTCGTTTTCGTGCTTTTCGCAATGAAAAGCTCGCGGATTTCAACCAGCTGCAGCGCAACTCGTCGGCGATCTCCGAGAGGACGCTCGAGGAGTGCTGGACGACTCTCCAACGAGTGAGTTGGCTTCTGTTCGACCGTGTAGAGTATACTTCCAAAAAAAAACGAAAAAAATCAGACGTAGATTCAATCAAAAAAATTTTAAAAAATAATGAATTTTCATTAAATTCACAAAATTTGCATGCAAATCAAAATTTAATCAAATTCGTATCTAGTCCGTGTAGTTGTTGTGCGTGTCTGTCGTTTTTTATCTCTTTGTGTGTGTCTTTTGATAAATCTGATGATTATGATAATGCGATTAATTATATAAGTTGATCGCTACGAAATGACCTAAACCTTTGGGGTATTGGAAAATGGTCTACCGAATACGCATGTTTTACAATATTTACACACTTTTACACTATTTACACTCGATGTTTATTGATTAATTGATTAATTGATAACAAACGACGAGTAAGAAGAAAAATAAGGTGAGTCTTATGTTATCATGAAACAAACTAAGAAATATGATGTGGAATCTAATGATTGGGATATTTTCAAGGATTAAGTGTGAAATATTTCAGCAAGTAACTTTTTAGAGCTTTTAAAAAGCTTTAAAACTGTGTTTTTCAAGTCGGGAAATAATGGATGTTTAGTTTTTTTGGATTATTTCAAAAAGTAATTAAGGAATTATGATGAAATTTACCACAGTTATTAAAGAATAAATTATGAACGGATTAGTAAAAGAATTTTAATCGTAGGTGTGATATTTATGAAGATACAAGGTGTTAAAGTTAGTACTTAAAATATTTATTTTTTATTTTTCATATTAAAAAATTACTGCTTCACTAATTTGATGATAACTTTAAAAGTAATTAAAATATTCAAACAAAATTTTGTAGAATAATAATTAATGAAACGTGTTATTAAAATACCTTTACAGATTATAAAAATCATTAAGCAATAATTATTTATTTACAGTTAAACATTTTATAACAAATTTTCACAAAAAATTGTTACTAGTCACTAATTTTAATTTTAAGGAAAAACCGTATATACTACACTAATTAAATTAAGAACATATAAACTATATAAAATTCTCTATTAATTACAGTCAACACATTGGAGTTATCGCTTCTGATAACGAAGTTATAAGGCATTGAATAAACCGCATTGCAACATAATTTATTTTTAGACTTAAAAGAATTAAGACTTACTTATTTGTAATTTAAACAAAAACCGTTAAAGATACATAATTCAAATTTCGCATACATAAACTAAATGAAATTCTCTATCAAACACTTTTTATATTTTCTTGTTATCTCTTCTGATAACGGATTTATTAAGCAATTAACTTGCCTAACTCTACAAAACATATCCACATTTTAAATTTCTAAATTTCTTTCTAAAAAATTACTACTATATGAAAGCTCACCACCTCGCCGCCCCCGACAGGCTTATTCCACAACTCATTTTCCGCCACACAGTTTCTACGATTGGCGCTTGGTGCCAGGCACGCGGGGGCGCGCTTCGCATTTTAAAAGTCACTCTCCGCGGAAAATAGAAATAACATGCGTGTTCCTCGCCCGCCGCCGCCTCCACCACACCACCATGCAACTGAAAAACACGGATAACATTCGCGTTATATTTTCCTACACATGACGAAGAGTTATTCCGTTTCGCGTGTGGGGGGGCGCAAAAGTAGGTTTGGGGGTGGCGCGGCGATAAACTCCGCCGCCGAGGCAATAAAAATACTCAATTTTTACCGCTGCGTCAAGATTACATAATGTATACATGTAAATATATACCCTCCAACCAGGTGGATTTGAATCGGTTGAAACAAAAGCTTTCTTTGTGCGCGCTCTCGAGGGGGTTGATAAAAAGTGTGCGTGCGGTTTGAACATTTATCGAATATTTTATTTACACGAAACTCTAGCATATTTTATTTACATTTACATTCGTGGAAGCTATAAAACGATGGAAGTTACTTTCTGCTATTGGATTTCTTTTTTATTCGAGTTGTAAAAAGGGGTTGAAACAAAATGGAACTTTTTCGACACACACGTGTTTTGTATTTCTCGAATCGATAATTGTATTGATGGCAATTCAATTGTGAGCGAAAAAATGCCACGCCTTTTGTGCTAAATTGCAGGGGTGCGACACCCTTATTCTTTTATCTTTGATTCAAACCCTGAAAATGATTTTTTTTTAGTTTTTGACCGTTTGAAACAAAATGGCTTGGCGGATTTTACAAAAAATTTCGGACAATAATAAGTGATATATTTTTAATCGATTCACAACAAAAAATTTAAAATTCATTAATTAGTTTTTTAATTATTCGCAATCAAAATTAAAAGTAGTTTTTATGTAAAAAATATGGTTTGTTTAATATTTTTGCAAATTAACAACAAATGTTTAGTTATTATTAATTATAGTTGGAGGTTTTATAAACTACATTAAATTATCTATCCATATTTGAAAAGAGTTAATTGCTAGGTATGAAATTAAGAAAGTTATTGAGCTTTGAAGTTCCGTTACAATTAATTAATAAGTGACTTGTTCAATAGATTATAATGATTTAAATAGAATGTGATAATAGATTAAATTATCTATTAATTTTTGTTTCGTATTTCAAAATAGCTCTTTAGGTTTAGCTGTTAATTGAGGTTAAATTACCAACTAAAAAATTTCAAAAATAAAAATAACTTTTTACTAATTTTAATATTACGCAAAAGTTAATTATTGCATTTAAATGAATTTTACCCAAATAAAAATAGATAAATTTGCGTATGAAATAGTGGCAACAGATTGAAAATATCTCATCTAGTTTGGCCTGTAGAGCGGTGCGAAGTTGGCGATGCACGCGCGAGCAGAGTTCGAAAAAAGCCCACACGACTTTTTGTGCATTTTATTGCCGCCGATGCGTTTATGCATAGAGTTCGTTCGCTCCTTGGGATGTCTATGAACCCTCTCTTTTAACTATAGCAAAACGAAGGCGAAGAGACTCGCGGACGCACGCATGCGATGAGATGCGCGCGGAGAGCGCTGCGAAGAAGTAGGAGGCTTTTTATAAACGAGCGCCCGCGGTTTAAAAATAGCTTTTTGCAGGCGCACGCATTCCCGAGCGCAGAAAACTGCGCGGAAAAAGGACGAATGTGCGCCGAAATGTGAATGACACTCGGCCTCAATCGAGAAAACTATTCGAAAACCGAAAAAAGAGAGAAAAAAGCAGAAAATGCATTTTTTGTTTCAAATTTGAAATATTTGATAAAAAATTTTATGAAATTGATTGAAGTTTTACAGGATGAAAGCTAATTAAATTATTTATTATTCTGTAAAAGAATTATGCCAAAATATTTAATATTTTCCAAATTATCGTGAATCAATCTTTAACAAGAAAAATAAAACAAAAAGCAAAAAAAAGAAAAATGCATTAGTTAACAAAAATCTGAATAACTCAATGCCAATTAAATCAATCTTAATAAAACAAGGAGAGCGGATAGCTAATTAAATTTCTTATCAAACACTTTTTAATTGACGTAAATATCATTGTTGGTTTTATAGTTATATGACATTTAAGTTTAAAGAAAAAAAGTAAAAGTCAAATTGCAAAAATACACAAAAAAATTATTCACAACACAGTAAAACCGTGATTTATTCAATTATTTCTCAACTAATTTAACAAAAAATTACAAATTATTTAAATAACAATATTCTCCACACAATTGAAAAAAATCATCTAAATATTTTAAATAGTTAAGAAGTTATTCAACGTCTAAGTTTCAACTAAAAATTCACATTTTCTTCAAAACTTTCTCACGAGTTTTTTGCTTAAATAACGAATAAGATCTAAATCTACATTTACCTGTGCACTATACTTATACACATCATCTTCTTCTTCAACCCCTTTACTAGAATTACTTCCGGACACCTCCAAAAAATTAATTTGCATATATCCTCAACTACTTTTCGTCGCGTATCATTTTTTTACTTCTCTGAAACAATGCCCCGAAAAGGGGTAGAAATGCGGCGTGTGAAAACACGAATCATCGCGTCAAGGGGTTGATTGTTAACCCCCTATTGTGCCCTGTATGCGCAAAGTATTAATATTAATTTTTAGCGGGCGTTTTTTGCGTTTTATAAAAAAATGGAAGCGAAAAAAGTTTAATGCTAAAATAATAGTGCGACACAATAAAACGGCGGTTAGGGAGGTTAGAAAGGGGTGGCGACGATTTGTTCAGATGTCAAACAAAGCGCCACGTCATTGAATACATTTTCAACTAGTGATTTGTACTTTCTAATAGTTTTTTTTGTGAGAAACAGAAAAAATAATTTTTTTGTGTTAAATATTTCAGTTGAGAATAATGAGAAAATGACTAAGTACAATTTTATGAAATTAATAGGGTATATAGAAAGTTAAATTGTTTATAATTTTATTTTTAATTTGTTTAAATATGTTTAATAGTTTTTGTTTAATTAGGAATTAAAGTTGAAACTATAAAAATGATTTTAAATTTGTTTTGCAAAGGAAAAACACTGATAACTTTGTTTAAACAAATTATGTTTTTATCAAATTTACCAATATCATAGTCAATTAAATTCTTTATCAACACATGAAAAGCTGATAATGATATCTCTATTTGTTTAAAAGTTATCGGCTTATAAACTTGATCATCAAAAAATCAATTTAAAACCTCAAAAAGTGTTTTACTCCACTAAAACTCAAATAATTAATTTAGTATTAACAACATCCTAACACACTAAACATAATACGATAGAAAATTAAATTCTTTATAAACCTGAACAAATTTGAAGCGAATATCTGCAGTAGTTTGCAAGTTAAACGACATGAAAGCAGCAGCAAGCGAAACAGTAACAAACGCGAGTAAAAATAAGCATACGCCCGTGCAAAAAATAAACGAAAGCCTCACATGCGAGAACTCGCACAGGCCAAGCGCACAGAGCAAAAAAAAAAGCAGCACAAGAAAAAAAGGAACACAAAAACGAAAAAGATTCCTCGCTCGCGATCCCGCCACGGTGTGACTGACCCGCACAATATAAAATAACTTGCGTTCGGCGTACGTTCCTTCCAGCATCTTCAC